GCTGCGCGGGGGGGGTTGGACTAGATGACCCACAGAGGTCCCTTCCAACCCCTACTATTCTGTGATTCTGTGATTCTGTGAAAATACGTTAATGAAGTCATTTTTGCAAAGGGCACAGGTAGCTTTTGCTCCTTGTTAGCTCAGCCCTGCGGGAGATGGCTGCCTCCCTCCCCGGCACGGTCAGCAGAGCAGACGCAGCATCGGAGCGCTCCTCCTGTGCCGCAGAGCGCAGTCAAGCGTCCGAGCTCCAAGTGGTGATGAAATAATTGGAGCAGGAGCCTTTGCTCTTCCGTGCGTCAGACAGCGAGCGGTGTGCGTGAACGCGCAGGTGTCGGTTAGTGCTGGGTGGCTCTGGCGTGTCGTCTCCAGCCGGAGCAGGGCATCCATCCATTTCAGGCCTGGCGGTACGAGTGCCCGGCTGGATCGCTGCTTGGCTGCATCCTTCCCTCCGCTCGGGCGTGGGAGAAGGTGCTTTCGAGCTTCACGGTGTGTTTTCCATCAGCTGGATAACAATAGAGGCAAATCCTGCATTGCTCTGTTTCTGTTCTCCCGGTTTCTTTGCTGCACGCGGCCGCTCTCTATTTTTAATCTGCCACATCTGAGATTTGTTTTCCTGAGCCCTCCTGACCTCGGTGATATTTTGACTTTGGGGTATTTAAGAAACAGCATTGTAGGCATCTTGCGTAGCCGGGAGTGACTATTGTTGTTGCCAGCCGAATCGTACTTATTTTTTTGGCCGCTTCTTGCGTTCTCACCTTTCAGCAGCTCAGAAGAGCCCCTTCAGGCTCCCTGTATCCAGTCTCTTCTCTATTTACAGCTGTACACAGCAACCATATTTGTTAACCGGTTCTTGGAAGAGGAATCCTCTAGAATAGAAATCGCAATGCTGCTGTGTGTCTAGAGGAAGGTTTGGCACGAGCGCCTTGGCCCGTCAGTGCGTCGCGACGGCGTAGGTGCCGTCTCTGGTACTCGGGTGGCTCTGCTGATTCCCCCCGCCCCGGGAGCACAGGCGTACCTTGGCAGAAATGCAGCTAGTGAAAAGGAAAGCCCATTCCTCTGCTGCGGGGTGGGGGAGAGGGAGCTTGAGCCCTGAGGCTGAAGGAGTTTGCCTGGACTCTGTAGTGGATCCGTCACTTGACTGAGGAGGAGTGTGGTCCAGCTGCCTGGGGTGAGCTCCACTCCTCGGGGATGCGCGTTGCAGAGCACCCTTCCTCAGCTACGAAGGGGGGCAACTGCTGGCCAAGCTCCTTAAATAAAAATTGCAATAGCACCTTACATTTTTGAAGACCATCTAAGACATGCCTTGATTTCTTTGCTAGTAAATAATTCCAGGCGAGATCACAACTGGTGACAAATCGGGTGAAGCTTAAGTAACTGTTAAAAATGTGTCCTGGATTGGAAGAAATAGAAAAAAGTTCTGGCCTCTGAGTTTCCAAACACGAAATACCGCAGAGGAGATGCACTCCTGGCTTACAGTATCAAATGGTTTGATTTATGCGGGTGTTGGGATTAATGTTTGTGAGCAGTATTTTACAGTGGTATCAGAGGAGCGTTCAGATCGGGCGTAGCTGGGGACGGTAAACAGGAGGCACGATTCCTCCGGGGGCCTGAAGGGTTGCTGGTACCCGGGACCGGGCATTTCTCTTCTCACTGTCACCCTGAAGCATCGCAAGCCAACTGAAAGAAAGTCTCTGAGTGTATTTTTCTCTTTTAGGCTTAAGCCATCTGTCCTTTGATCCTGCCAGCAGCAGCAAATCTCTGCAGGAAGGCAGCCTGGCCCGCGGGGGTCGGAAAGCCCAGCCGAGAATGGAAGCGATCCAGGCAAGAAGAGGAAGAGAGCAAACGTTCCTCCAGGTGAGCTGAGTGGCAGGTCGGTGGCTGGCCGTGGAGAGGGCATCCGCGTAGCCGTGGACCAAACCCAGCTGCTGAAGGTGGACAGCTCGGTAATCCCATTTCTCTGCTTTGGTATCCTCTGCTTCTCTCTCTTCGTGCCTGACCTGGTGCGTGCTCTCACGTTGACAGACAAGTGGTGATAACTAAAGTCCAAGCTTGTCTTGGATCTCCTGAAACAAAGGGGTTACAAAGCAGGGACAGATTGTTTTTTTTCAGGAGAAATGGGCCACAGGTCACGAGAGCAGATGGTTTGAAACACGGCTGAGGGAGACTGTAGAATCACAGACTGGTTTGGGTGGAAAGGGACCATTCAAGGCCAGCTAGTCCCGTGCCCTGCAGTGAGCGGGGACATCTTCAACTCGATCAGGTCGTTCAGAGCCCTGTGCAGCCTGGCCTGGAATGTTTCTGGGGATGGAGCATCTACCACCTCTAGGCAACCTGTGCAAGGGGTTTCACTGCCGTTGGTGTAAAAAATTTCTTCCCTATATCCAGTCTAAATCTACCTTTTAGTTTAAAATTGTTGCCCCTTGTGCTATTGCAACAAGCCCTACTAAAAAGTCTGGCTCCACCTTTCTTACAAGCCCCCTTTAAGCAGCTGATGCTGAGGATCAGAGATTTATACAAGTCTGAAAGGAATGAATTTGTTAGTGTTCTTATGTTGAGGCAAAAGGGGTGTTCTCGTGCATGTTTTTGCCACTTAAAAAGCAGTGGGTGAGCATGTTGTCATCATAAAACACAAGGTAGAGTGGTCCTTTGAGTTCATCATAGTATTACTGCTGCAACAAATACTGCAATTAAGCACCGATTTGCTTCACTCGCAGGCTGTGGTGTGCTGTGACCCTGCCCACTGTGTTGCCGTCTGTCTAACTGTATTGCAAGGCATTGCTAAGAACCTGGAATCGTCAGTCTTATTCCAAAAACCATAGAATCATAGAATCATAGGTTGGAAAAGACCTCTAAGATCATCGAGTCCAACCATCCACCCAACACCACCATTCCTACTAAACCATATCCTGAAGTGCCACATCTACGAGGCAACTTTGCACCTTAGCATGACAGTAGTGTGCTCCGTATAGGTGTTCAGACAACAAGGATGTGGGAGGTCACCTGCTCCCTCATTTACACTCCAAAATATCTGTGGGAGAGGATCTACCTCCCCCCTCCTCACTTCAGCACAGCTACAATTAGTGGTTGCCCACGCATAGCCCTAAACTACCAGGAGATGCTCCAGGTACCCCCCGGTGACCAGCTGCTACTCCAGACAGCTAGAGACCTGAATGTTCCTGTCTTGGGGGTGTGAGATGTTCTGTTCTGGTTGCTCTAATTCACGTTTGACTTGACCGGGTCTGCTGAGCGTCAGGTCTGAGCTGTTTCAAAGGATGTTCTGCTTTCCCCCAGTCAGTAAGATCTGTCAGATGAGGACAGAAGAGGTCTGCAGGTGGGGTTTTGTACGTAGGGCAACTCCCCTGTGGGCTTTGGGCCCGTGCATAGAGCTTGGCTAACGTACAGACGGGGGACTGTGCTGCGAAGGGTGGTGGGGCTGGCAGCGGCGCGAGGGAACGGCGAAGCCAGGGGTGGGTGTTTGACCTTGGCAGCGCTTTGTTTGGGTTAAGCGTGGGAGATGAGGGCTCTGGAGGTGGCCCAGGTGATGCATGGGGTGGGTGGGTGGTGAGCAGGAGGTGGGTCAGTGTGGAGGGAGGCTGCTCACCTGGGGCCTAGAGGTGGCATCTCAGGAAGGTGATGAACTCCTCTCTTGTCCCCTCTCTGAGGCCAAGAAGAGAGGAGGGGTGGAACGGGGTGGGAAGTGGAAATTCTAATTTGGTCACAGGGTGAGAGAAGTGGTCAGTACATTTCCTCCTGCTGCTGTGTTCTGGAGAGCTTCAGGAGAGCTTCGGGAGCCTGTGCACTGGGCTGTCCCGGGTGGTACGGGATGGGAGAACATCAGCTCTGCTGAGTTTCCGCTTGGAGCTGGGAAGCTTTTTGTACAGCTTCTGTCGGTAACAGAGAGGGGCGGAGGGGAGAACATCAACACTGTTGTTGAAGCCAGACTTTTTCCAAGTGAGCATTCATTTTGTGACAGCTTCAGCGGGGAGATGGGATGCAAGGCAGCTGCTGACTGCTGGTGCCAGGTTTGCTGTCCCTGCTCTGGTGGGGGGGCTGTCTCGAGCTCTGTCTCCTCAGCAGCAGAGTGTGCTGGCTGTTGGCTTTTTCGAATAGGAGGAGTCCTGCTGTGTTTTTCCACAAGAAAAGAAGTTTGTGTGAGGGACTGGAACATCTCCCCTACGAGGAGAGGTTGAGGGAACTGGGCTTGTTCAGCCTGGAGAAGAGAAGGCTGAGAGGGGACCTTAGAAATGCTTACAAATATCTGAAGGGTGGGTGTCAGGAGGATGGGGCCAAGCTCTTTTCAGTGGTGCCCAGTGACAGGACAAGGGGCAATGGGCACACACTGAAGCACAGGAAGTTCCGTCTGAAC